TCGGTCCGCTCGGGTTTCCCGGCACGTCTAGAACTTTTTTTATTTGGGGACAAAGCCCTGCCTTCGCTTCCTGGAAACCAAACGATTACCCCGTGTAACCGAAGCACAGCCGCTTCGCCCTGAGACGGGGTCCCCCAGCAGGAAATGTTTGGGAGGGCCTGCTGGAAGGAGCAGAGCCCTTAGAGGCCACGCTTGAAACCGTCCGGCTGTGTTATTGGACCAGGTTTGGGTTACTGTTATAATCAAACGAATCCTTGTGATGCTATCTTTCCCAACCATCACACCACTTAGTGCATCCATGTACCCGCTCTTGGATTACAGGAGTCGCGGGTGTATGGTTACCCGAAGGGCTGGATGCCGGCAGAGAGTGCCTGGGCCCAAATCTACGGGCTGTGGTTTCTCCAACTCACCAGGCTGGCTGGTATTAATAGACAGGCTCACGTCTGCAGAGGGAAAACAAGCTCGCTGTAATGGCCAGTCCCTAAGGCCGCACGGTTCTATCAGTCCTTTGTGAAACTACTATCTATTCCTTTTAGCCTGGGCAGGCCACACCCCTATTCAGTTATAACAGACTTCTCTCTCTTCTTTTTCTTCAGTCGCTAATGGTTTTTGTACACTTCTCAATTCAACAGCCAATTCCTTCAAACATAATAGATCAGAGTTCAGTCACCTATCTTGTGTTCATTTGGGGTTTTTAAAAAAATATTGCTTCCCAGCATCCATAACCTACTTTATTTCCTCAAATTTATTAAACTATTTGAGAGTAAGCTTGAATAATCTTTTCTGTTTTAATGTTTATTCCTTTTTTTTTTTTTTTAAGAAATGCACTAGTGGTCTCGGATTACAGTTTTGGTGACTGGACAATATACCACACATGCACATGAAGAAAGCTATAATATTAAAGAAGATATGGATTGATACAATGCACGTGCAGCGTTTAAAAAGAACATACCTAAAGTCAACTTTCATGTTATTTTCACACATATCTACTCTTCTCTACTTCCTTCTAATCATTCAAATTTTATACTTTAAATCTAGATATTTATTTCAATATTGCTTTATCTTCTCAATGCCGTATATTATGAAATATTCATGAGAATGATTAAAATACTTTCAGTGGCATCCTGATATTAACATTTGGCCATTATCTGAATGTGGCACTATTAATATTTTCCAGGAGCAGTGCTGGGTTTGCATAGGCCTGGCCACACATGTTACCGGTTGTCTTTACCAGCTGACTCCTGCCAGGGTGTCTTTGTGGCCCCAGGACGACAAGGGAGCAGTGGACTCACACAACATTTCTATTTTGGCAGGATGGTATGGTGAGTGATAGGCCCTGGGTTTAAACAGATGTGGGTTCAAATCCCAGCTCTGCTACTTACTAGCCAGCTGTATGGTGGTGGGCAAGTTTTAAAACCTCCTTGCGCTTCAGTTCTCTCTGCTATCAAATGGAGGGGACCACGGAGCTGTCGTAAAGATTAAACTTTTTTTCTAAGGTTTAAAATTATGTTGTGGTGACCTCCTAGGAGCTCATTTAAATAACCTCAAGTGCAGTTGGCCTTGAGTTTTTCTTCATATTTTAATTTTATTTATTTTTATTATCATTTTTTTATTTTTAGAGACAAGGTCCCACTCTGTTGCCCAGGCTGGGGTGCAGTGGCGCAATCATGGCTCACTGCAGCCTTGAACTCCTGGGCTCAAGCGATCCTCCTGCCTCTGCCTCCCAAAGTGCTGGGATTACAGGCATGAGTCATTGCTCTTGGCCACATATTTCAATTTTCTATGAGGGCAGTAGTTGCAAATCTAGTTGTTGTTGTTTTTAACCCTGGCCTCAGACAGCACTAATCTTCCTCCAGTCTGGTGATGGTTCCTTTCTGTATTCCCGATCGTCACAGAGGCCATGTCAGAGAGAAGAGTTTAAAAACTGCCGCTTCCAGCCTCTTTGTTTCTTATATTTGATTTTCCATGAGGTAGGTAGGCCGGGAAGGACTTAAGAGGGAAAGAAATTTTAAAATAAAATCTACAACCTTTAGCCCTAATCCTGCAACCCTGCCATTCACGTGTTCTTGATGTTAGACCCTTTCGACGTCCACTTGAATCCTTGGTCACAAATGGACATGTACTTGACTTTGGAATGACTGGGTGTTTAGGCCCAAATCACAAAGTCACGTAACCGGGAAAGCCTGGACGCCCTCTCCTGTGCCCAGTCTAGCCAACTTTATTACAGATCTTCGTTTATACTGTTGAGTCCCTTCCTCATCCCCTCTAGGGCGGGGTGGGGGTGCTCTCTTCTACAATGCCGAACTATTCGGGACATCTAATTACTTGGATTCACAGTTGTGGTTCTCCAATTATGTGTCCCTTGTCCTCTTGCGCTGCACCCCTTCAAGTCAGGGATCCTATCTTATCTTTGAATCCCAGGCACCCAGCATAGCGCCTGACACACAGCAGGCACGAAATAAAGTCTGTGGAATAAATGAACTAATAGCTGAAAGAGTGCTCATGCAAATTGTTGGGGTTTTTTTGTTTGTTTGTTGTTTTGTTTGTTTTTGAGTTGGAGTCTCACTCTGTCACCCAGGCTGGAGTGCAGTGGCACAATCACAGCCACCACAACCTGGACCGGCTGGACTCAGGTGATCCTTTTGCCTCAGCCTTCCAAGTAGCTGGAGCTACAGGCGTGCGCCACCACACCCAGATAACTGTTTTTTTTATTTATTGTAGAGACAAGTTCTCGCCATGTTGCCCAGACTGGCCTCAAACCCCTGGGCTTAGGCCTTCGCCTCCCAAAGTGTTGGGATGATAGGTGTGAGCCACTGTACCTGGCACAAATTGTTGTTTGAACTTTCCTCTTCCATCTTGGGTGGAAGCCTTGGGCCTTTCTAAGTCAGAAGGCAGGAAAATAGAATAAGACATGATAAGTAAATGTTGGGATCCTCTAAGATGGAGGACAGATGCCAATTTCACCTCAATCATGAAACTTACAGAGGGAGAGGCACAGTTAGGAGACAGAGAGGGGTTCAGATGTAGATGAACACACACAGTCTTGGTGTTTTCCAGTTTGCAATCAGGCCAAGGTTACTCCTTGGTGGATATAGTGAACTATGGCATGCCAAGTAAGAATTTATCGCAGAAGACTGCAAGAATGTCTGCCCCCAAAGATTGCTTCCGATAGGTTTTTGAAACTTCACTCTAATGTTTAAAAAGCAAACAAACAAACAAACAAAAATGCAGACAGAGAGCTGCAAGTCTTTCATTGGCTGAAAGATGTTGATTGCTCCCTCATGCAATGAATCCTAAAATCAAGCTATGTGACTTCTCATGTATCCTTTGCAAAAAGGATCAGTTTCAGAAAAGGAGCAGAAACAGTAAACCCTGATGATGTCTGGCGAGGTCATCCGTGCTAAGGATCACACATACTGAAAGCTTTTTTTTTTTTCCAGGGTGGTAAAGGAAAGAGGAATTCATGAAAAGAAGAACACACAGGGACCATGCTTAGAAGCTCACATCTGTAAGCCCAGCACTTTGGGAGGCTGAGGTGGGAGGGTTGCTTGAGCCCAGGAGTTGGAGACCAGCCTGGGTAATATAG